ATGCCAGTCCCACGGATATAGGATATCCAGATCAGATTTAAGTCGTCCAGTCATGGGACTTTCCCAGGTCTTGACCAAAACACTCAGACACCTCAATAAATGGTCTCTCAAAACCAGATCTAAAAAGTAGACCTTTCGACCTGTGAATTTGGAATTTGGGTGTGTGAGTTGTGTATTTAATCTTCCAATGGGGTCTACGTACAGTATGGCTCATCCCCTTGAACTGCAGGGGTGCGGTAGTGTCCCGCCTAAAGTGGTCAGTAGCTCATGAGTCATAGCCAGTATAGACCATACATAGCCGCTATGCCATGCTTGAACTTGGCAAGGTGAGGCATGTGTGTTTGTGGGACAAAGAATTCAAGCAACATGATCAAAGATGGCCCTCGTTTGCCAAATGCTCCCCCCTCAAAGGGTGTCAATTATGGAACAAACTAGAAAGAAACTGAGAACATGAATTGCTTTTCCAATATGGAAGGAGGAAAAAACACATGTTGCTTCTGGGAATCAATACAGTTGAGACTTTGGAGCCAACTCTGAACCCCAACACACTGCGTGTCCATTCAGTGACAATTCTGCTTTTTGTTGTTGTGTATTTTGCAATTTCTGGGAACACCAACACTTGGCTGCCGACTGAATCGTCCATCGCTCATCCCCTGTCAAACCTCTTCATTGGACTTATCAGACTGAATTTCTCAAAAGATTTTGTTAGTCTTCTCCAACAAAAGAGTGCAAATGTGAGACGCCGCCACCACCGAAGAACATTCTGATAACATATTTTGTTACACTCAGACCCTGGGGGTTCAAATCCAAAAGAATGTGTTTAAAGAAAGCTCCTTTGTTTGTCGAGTTTTTGATCCAACCATCCCAAAATGGATGTGTCAGTTTTCACCCAAGCGAGTGAGTGGTTGGTTGGTTTGTCTTTGTTGGTTGGTCTTTTTTGGTTGGCTGGTTGATCTTGGTTGGTTAATTGGTTGGTTGGTCTTTTTTGGTTGGCTGGTTGATCTTGGTCGGTTAATTGGTTGGTTGGTTTGGTTGGTTGGTTGGTTTTGGATGCCATCAGATCTTTTTCCGCCTCATGGTCAGTCAGGAAAAAAGAATCTGTGCAAACACTTGGCATCACTGTCAGCCAGGTGACCAACAAGCAAGCAAGCAAGCAAGCAAGCAAGCAAGCAAGGAAAACAAACAAAACAAACAAACAAACAAACAAGGAAACAATCAAGCAAAGAAAGAAAAAAGAAAGAAAGAACGAACGAACGAACGAAAGAAAGAAAGAAACAAGCAAGAAATCAAACAACCAAACAAAAAAACGACACAAAACAAACTAACGAACAAAACAAAACAAAACAAACAACCACAACAACAAACATTACACAACAACCAACCAACCAACCAGCCAACCAACCAACCAACCAACCAACCAACCAACCAACCAACCAACCAAACAAACAAACAAACAAACAAAACAAAACAAACAAACAAACAAAACAAAACAAAACAAACAAACAACAGAAAAAACACAAAACAAAACAAAACAAACAAACAAAACAAAACAAACAAACGAAACGAAACGAAACGAAACGAAACGAAACAACAACAGCAGCAACAACAAAAACACCGGCAACAACAACAAACAAAAAACAAACAAACAACAACAACAACAACAACCACCACCACCAACAACAACAACAACAACTTCTACTACAACTACTACTACCACTACCACTACCACTACTACGACCACAACCACCACGACGGCGGCGACAACGACGATGACAACGAAAACGACAAACCAAGAAACAAGCAACAACAACCGACAACAAGAACAAGAACAACAACAATAATAAGAACAACAACACCACCCATAAACAACAACCACAACACCACCTCAACCGCAACCACAGCCAGATCCGCAGCAAATTCTTAGCAACACCAACAACATGAGTTAAAAGAAATACACCGCCGGAGCCACATCCAGCCGGCGCCATGGATCGTCTAGATTCGTGCGACTACGCACAACCTCTTGCAGCGAACACTATAGTGATTGCTCAATCAGCATCCAGCCTCCAAAACCTACGCAACATGATCGTGTCATGCTTCAATTGCGCTGCAAACGCGTCACAAACATTGAAGCATCTCATTCACAATTACTTTCACTTAGCCCAGAGAAACCGAACCTTTTAAGGACCTATCCAAAAGTGTATGAACATAGCCAAATCCGCCCGAGCAGTGTCTGGGAGAGGAGTGGGAATGGGAGAAGACATTGAAAAACACTCGGCTTTATATATCATGTATGTCTTGACTATATTTCCCATCATCGTATCACGTGCATCACCACGTCCCTGAAAGGCAAGCAAACGACTCCTCTCAACAGTCTATGTCTTTATATAACTTTCATGATTGCATCATACGCATCAGCTGGTTGCAATTGCAAAGCTTGTTAAGGCAACATATGCACCAGCTGGTTGCATTTGTATCGTTTATTGACCCAAGTGCCTGCAAATTAACTAGTATAATTTGGACACCTGAAAACTATACAATGTCAAGGATGTAGAAAACTAGATCCAACCATGCTTGCAAATTGCAAGCAAGACATAACTAACCCATTTGTAAGATGGTCCAAAAACATAGTGGTAGTTATAGAGCCTTCTTGAATTTTATTCATGCTGCCACAAGCACACTGTTTAGCTTATTGCGCATAACCGCTCTACTTTTCGACCCCCTTGAAATGTACATTTTTCAGGGTTGCCAACTTGTATTGCTTTGCAGGCATTGTTGGGTGTAATTTGGACCCTCTGAAAACTGCACAATTTCAAAGAGGTCGAAAAATAGGTCTCCAACGATGCTTGCACGTTGAAAGTAAGACACAGCTAAGCAGATTGCAAAAGGGTCCGAAAAGAGAGTGATTATAGATACTTCTTGTATCTGGTTCATCCACTTCACGCTGCGCTCATCGCTAAGTCCATAACCATTCTATTCTTCGACCCCCGAAAAGGCACAACCTCAAGGGAACGGAAAGCAAAATTGTGTCAATGGAGGGTCCGGGGGAGAACCGCTGATACGCAGCCCATCTGAGGCCTTCGAAAAAAACTCTCACTGGGAATCATTGCGTGGCGGGGGCCTAACTGGCCCTTTCATCGTCCTGTAGAGCTCCAGCAAAGTGCATCCACCTCGATCTTTAGAGATCACGTGCGGTCAACGGCGGATTCGGAAACACTAGCAGTAGCAGCCCTCGACTATACAAAATACGTCCTTGGGAATCCTAGATCTATGGGCCTGGAGTTTCAGAA